TGTGCAATCATCCATTAGTATCCATTTATTCTATTGTTTTTACTCTTGCTTTACTTCCAATTTATTTTGTTGTTGATCTATGACAAAGTTCCTTGTTGGCCAAGAATAAAATAGGACGTAGTAATGGAAAATAAACAGAAAAAATTAATGAGCACATGCCATCAGATGTATGTAAAGTCTCAAAATGAAGCAGGAATAGTAGAACAGGAATAGAGTTTGTTCCTGTTTAATTCTCCATCTATTCTCAATTTATTTTCAAAATATCCATTCAATAACAGAGTATCCAAAATGACTATTCCTCTCCTAGTATTCTTGATGCATTTGCAGCTGCCCATATCATGATACTTCCTCTACTTCCTGTGACGTAGTAGTACAGCTTCTGGGGGATAAAAATTTCAAGCTTCTCAAAATTTTCTGTTWAAAAAATGATCAGGCAGTGATGGTAGTAGAGATCCCCAGCACCCAATCAAATTGACATTCCAAGCAACAGCAGATYAATTTGATTTTGTTGTCAATAACAGTGCAGCTGGTACTTTTTACAATCCATCATCAACTGGTATCTAAATGAGATGGTTCATTTCAGAATAACAATTCAAAGTTTTCATGATTTCATAATCTAATTGAAGAAGCTGCCATTAAAAATCCTGGCCTTTTTGTACTGGTGAAAAGCCAGAATTTTCTTATTTAACTTTGATACCTTGTGTCTGACCCAAAAAACACAYCATTTCCACAATCATCAAAGTATTTGTCCTCCTGCCCAGAATWCTGCCCTCRAGGAGAAAGATAGATTGTTCAAATACTATAAACTATTTCCAACCTCCACTGAGTACAAGCTACAAGAAGGACATCTTTTTGAAGGAGAATATTTTAGATCTTCTATTACGGGAATTCAAACTTTGGAAGAAACTGCTGATGGAACCAAAGGAGAGCTTCATTACTACTAGGAACACATACCATCTCTGGTGGCTGCTTGTTGCAAAGATCACAGGTTTTCTGAAATGTTACAAAATTTTGAACAACTCCTCCTGTGAGTATAGAAAAMAAATGTTTTACATGTTGACGGTGATTTCAYCCACATATCTTCTGTACCRAAAAACTGCTTCAGCAAAACTCAGCAAAAGAAAACTTGCATTAGGCAAAGACGAGCAGCAGAATTGGAGACAATGTRCACTGTTGGGGAAGTAGGAGAGAGGAGTTGGACATGATGCAAGAAGTGTGGTGCAACAATGATCCCCAAGAGGCATGATTGAAACTGCTGGGGAACAAGGGCAGCTTGATGCAATCAAACTTGCATTCAATGAAGCACTAAAAAAGCTTTATGTGGCCATTGGGGGAGTATAAAAGCCAAAGGCAGTCCTCAAAGAAAGAAGTCCTCCTGAAGGACCTGAAGGAGGAGGCACTTCATCTTGTTGTTGTTCATGGCAAGAAGAAGCTYGTCAAAGAAGTTGATGAGGAAGCATTCAAAACATACAAGAAGAATGTACTAGCCCATGGGAAAGTAGAAAAGTTTGGGGAAGACTCTGAAGGGTTGAAAAAGTACTAGAAGGAAGAAGGAAGCTGTTGAGGAACTGAAAAAAGCTTGAAACTCTTCCTTTGGTAAGGAGCATTTAATTTTGTTTGGGGGATTCAAGAACTAACGGATTTAAGGGAT